AAAAGAATAAGGGTTTTTTACTCAAACTTAAGGGTTTGCCAAACCAAAAAAAGAAAAGCCCAGATTTTGAAGCAAATCTCAAAGTGTACTATTGATGCCAGTTTCCTCGAATCAAGAATCAATTTGCTTGCTTCCCAGGGGGCCGCGCCGTTTCAGCGCGCTAAGCCTTAGGGGTAAGACAGCTTGACGCTCCTGCTGAAAGGGGTTTGGGGTCATCTAAACAGAAATGAGTCTTGGCCACCAAGAGGAAAGGGCTTGAACTGTTTTCGGGAATAACTTGCCTCTTCTGTCCGCAGCAAAATGCGTTGTGTTGGAGCCCAAATTCTGCTCGTATTTTGGCAGATTGGGATTGCGTTTGCGGCAATTGCGAGTTTTCACAAAGAAAGCAGCGATCTGCAACAAATCCTGCATGGGCACATTTTTTGGGTTCTGGCCACACACTACATAATACGGAGCAGAACGTGTTTTTCTTGGTAGGCGTTTCTCAGAGGCCCCAGGTTCCCCGTGAACCAACTCCGAACAAACTCCAAGCGAACTCCGAACTCCGAACGAACTCCGAATGAACTCCGAACAAACTCCGAGCAAAGTCCGGACAAACTCCGAACGAACTCCGAACGAACTCCGGGCGAGCTCGGAACAAACTCCGAACAAGCGAACAAGCTCCGAGCAAGCTTTGTCATTGGTTGATTTCCGAACAAACCCCCGAGCCAACTCCGAATACACTTTGGCCATAAGCATGTTTTTGAGCCTAAGTATTTTGGCGGTCAAACTGTTTTTGTTGCCTTTTTTCTGGCTTACCAAAAGAGGCCAAGTGATTACAGGGGCCAGTTTCAACAAGTGGCCTGGGAAGGAGTTCAGGGCCGGATTTGTAGGACCTCAGAGCTGCGGAGGGCTAAAATCGCTACCGGGGTGATCACGCAGCTTGGTTGACGCTGAGGCTCGCTGTTGAAGCTGAAACAAAGCTTAATCCTTTTGATCAAGGCTTAATCCGGGAAAAAATATTATTCCAAAAAAAAGAGCTTAAGTTCAACACCGGTGTTGAACTTAAGGGTTTGCCCGATTTGTGTAATGGCTTGCCCGATTTTGGTCGTATGAAATAGCTGTTTTCTTGCATGAAAAGCCTGGATTAAGCATGTTTCAATGTTTTTTTTGCCCTGGTAACACTAAATTTGTACGAAAAACGCATCAACAAGCTGTAATTCCAGTGTTTTTGTACGACCAAAACCCAAAAAGTTCAACACCGAAAAAAAAATAAGCTCCAAAAAAAAACTTAAGGCCAAAGTTCGTTCGGAGTTCGTTCGGAGTTCGTCCGGGGCAAGAATTAAGCCCCGAAAAAAAACAATAAGCAAAAATCACAGCCTGAAAAAAACAACAAGCAATAAAACAAAACAAAGCCGAAAAAACTGAAACTTAAGGCCGACACACCAAAATCAGCTCCCCCAAAGAAAAATATGGCCAAAGTTTGTTTGGCGCTTGTCCGGGAAGTAAATCCAGCCCGAAACATACATAACAGGAAAATCAAGTGACCAAAAGAACTAATTTCAACAAGTGGCCTGAGAACATGTTTGTTTGCCTCAAAAAACACCTTCCCAGGCCACTTGTTGAAACTGGCCCCTGTAATCACTTGGCCTCTTTTGGTAAGCCCGAAAAAGCAAAAAAAACAGCTTGGCCACCAAAATACCTGGGCTCAAAAACATACTTATGGCCAAAGTGTGTTCGGAGTTGGCTCGGGAACAATGCCAAAGTTCGCTCGGAGCTTGTTCGCTTGTTCGGAGTTTGTTCCGAGTTCGCCCGGAGTTCGTTCGGAGTTTGTTCGGAGTTCGTCCGGAGTTTGTCCGGAGTTCGTTCGGAGTTCGTTCGGAGTTCGTTCGGAGTTCGTTCGGAGTTCGTTCGGAGTTCGTTCGGAGTTTGTTCGGAGTTCGTTCGGAGTTCGTTCGGAGTTCGTTCGGAGCTTGTTCGGAGTTCGTTCGGAGTTTGTTCGTTCGGAGCTTGTTCGGAGTTGGTTCACGGGGAACCTGGGGCCTCTGAGAAACGCCTACCAAGAAAAACACGTTCTGCTCCGTATTATGTAGCGTGTGGCCAAAACCCTAAAAAATGTGCCCATGCAGGATTTGTTGCAGATCACTGCTTTCTTTGTGAAAACTCGCAATTGCCGCAAACGCAAGCCCAATCTGCCAAAATACGAGCAGAATTTGGGCTCCAACACAACGCATTTTGCTCGTACAGAAGAGGCGGTTTCATAGTTAAGTTTTTCCCGGAAAGCAGTTCAAGCCCTTTCCTCTTGGCGGCCAAGACTCATTTCTGCTTAGATGACCCCAAACCCCTTTCAGCATGCGCATCAAGCTGCCTTACCCTTAAGTTTTTTTTGGTGTTGAACCGAATTCCCCACGCAAATTGGCACATCCAGGTCTGGGATGATAGCCGGGGCTATATCTTGTTGATTGGGGGTGGTTCCTTGAAACCATGATTGTATGCTACTTGCCAAGTGGCTAACCCTACTTGCAAACCAATACCCTTGGTTCTACCCTACTTGACTGGACAGAGCGTCCAAGACCCCCCCCCACAAGAAGAAGAAGAAGAAGAAGAAGCAGAAACAAACGACGACACAAACAAAGACGAAGCTCCTCTTTCCCCAAGAACCTCCATGAAGCTTCCCGCGCCTCGCGACCAGAATCCGCCGCTTCCCCGCCAGGGCTGTGGCCACGTGGCGCACGAGGAGGATCCTGAGAGCTTCACTCGGCTCGTGGCGCAGTTCGCCGACGAAAAAAACGTCCGATCCGTCCGAGTGTGCGTCCTGGAGCTGGGGCATTGGAGGCTTAGGTCCGTTTCCGGGATCTCCTTTTTGGTTTTTCTTATGGCATGGCGGTGAGAAAGAATTATGGGGTTTGAGCCACCTCAAATGTGGCCAGTGGACATGAATCCCCACCTAAATGATGTGCGCAAAAGAGGGTCCCCCCAGTACTGAGCATATGTTGAACATGTACATGGTAAGGTTGTTTTGTTGCCATACAGCCTAAGATAATGGTTGATCCAATTTGGATGATGAACCTCCTTATTTCAATTACTGGTCATATTACCCCCCTTTGTTTTAACGGGTGGTTTGAACCCCAGGGAGGGTGAACCGTGTACTTCTGTATTGTTTGGGCAAGTGAGCCCCAACTTGGCTGTTGATGTTCGGGGTTCTTTTCGGTGTCCAGTTGAAATCCCACAGGGGGTACCTTCCACGACAAGACTTCAATAACAGCGACAAAAACCAAAATAACAACGATAAATAATTGAGCTTCATACCACGACAAATACAAAAGGTTCATACCACGATAAAGAATTTTGGTCCATACGGCTCTTCCAAAGAACGTGTGTTTTGCACTTTTTGGGGTCTGAACAGCTCAAAAAACACGTTCTTTGAAACAGGTCCCCCAGAAAGTTCAGGAGCTTTATAAGGAGCTTGTAACGAGCTGAGCCCCAGAAAGCTCAGGAGCTTTCAAGGAGCTTTGTGAAGAGCTTTATAAGGAGCTTCAAAGGAGCTAATGGACGGCTGTTCCAAAGAACGTGTGTTTTGCAGTTTTGGGGGGCCGAAAAGCTCAAAACACGCGTTCTTTGAAACAGGGCCCCAGAAAGTTCAGGGAGCTTTGTGAGGGGTTCTTCTTTGCCTTCCCTCTGCCTGTTCCTTCCTTCTTCTTTTCTTCCAAAGAACGTGTGCATTTTTGAGCCCCATTCGAACAGCTGTCCATCAGCTCCAAGCTCCTTACAAAGCTCTCCATATAAAGCTCCTGAACTTCCTGATAAAGCTCCTCGCAAAGCTCCCTGTAAGCTCCTGAACTTTCTGAGAACGTGTGTTTTGAGCTTTTTGGCCCCCAAAAAGCTCAAAACGCACGTTCTTTGAAACAGGGCCCAGAAAGTTCAGGAGCTTACAAGGAGCTTTGCGAGGAGCTTTATCAGGAAGTTCAGGAGCTTTATATGGAGAGCTTTGTAAGGAGCTTGGAGCTGATGGACAGCTGTTCGAATGGGGCTCAAAAATGCACACGTTCTTTGGAAGAAAAGAAGAAGGAAGGAACAGGCAGAGGGAAGGCAAAGAAGAACCCCTCACAAAGCTCCCTGAACTTTCTGGGGCTCTGTTTCAAAGAACGTGCGTTTTGAGCTTTTTGGGGGCCAAAAAGCTCAAAACACACGTTCTTTGAAACAGGGCCCAGAAAGTTCAGGAGCTTACAGGGAGCTTTGCGAGGAGCTTTATCAGGAAGTTCAGGAGCTTTATATGGAGAGCTTTGTAAGGAGCTTGGAGCTGATGGACAGCTGTTCGAATGGGGCTCAAAAATGCACACGTTCTTTGGAAGAAAAGAAGAAGGAAGGAACAGGCAGAGGGAAGGCAAAGAAGAACCCCTCACAAAGCTCCCTGAACTTTCTGGGCCCTGTTTCAAAGAACGTGTGTTTTGAGCTTTTTGGCCCCCAAAAAGCTCAAAACGCACGTTCTTTGAAACAGAGCCCCAGAAAGTTCAGGGAGCTTTGTGAGGGGTTCTTCTTTGCCTTCCCTCTGCCTGTTCCTTCCTTCTTCTTTTCTTCCAAAGAACGTGTGCATTTTTGAGCCCCATTCGAACAGCTGTCCATCAGCTCCAAGCTCCTTACAAAGCTCTCCATATAAAGCTCCTGAACTTCCTGATAAAGCTTTCCAAAAGTGCAAAACACACGTTCTTTGAATCAACCGTCCATTGTTGGAAGAAGGGAAGCAGGAAGAAGGCAGGAAACGGGAGAAGGAGGGAGCCCTGTTTCAAAGAAGGAAGGATCCGCTTTTTGAGCTTTTCGTGATTATTCTTGTTTTTTCGTAGTAAGAAAAATATTTCCGAGTCGTGGTAGGAGCAATTTCTGTCGTGGTTGGAAAGCTGTTGTGAAGCGTGGTTGGTGCACCCCCTCGGTACTTGAAATCCACCCCAAAAGGGTCGCCTTCAAAGACCACCCCAAATGGACTCACCGGGTTAGGCAAAGCGTGATTTACCGCTAATCCACAGGCGCCGGTGGTGGTCTGGGGCACGCCCCGCCCGGGCGCCCGAGCGAGAGCTCACCGATTCAAGGGTAAATCGAGCTTGGTATGTGGGTGCGTCCTTTTTAGGGGGCCCCAAAATATTGACATTTTATTTTAGGGGGACACACTAAACGGTTTGCCAAAATGACTTGGATTTTCCTTTTAGTGTCCCCTTTAAGACCACTAAAAGCCCTGGCAAACAAAAAACAGACCCATGGTGGGCCGTTTACTTGGGGATCGACGATTATTTTCTCAGGTCTTGAAAATTATATATATATATATATATATTTAACAATGTGTTTTTCATGAAGGCACAAAGTCAGTTGTAAAAATATGTGTTTTTTGAAAAAGGTGCCAAGTCACTATATAAGTAGGTTTTTCTTCATGGCCGAAAAACCCGAACCACATATAAACCACAACCACTAACCACCAATCTAAACCACCAAGTAGAGACCCAGTTGCCCAGTGCTGCCCCTTTTTTTTCTCCAGTTTTTTGGGAAGGGTGTCCCTGTAGAGTCAACCAACTAAAAAAGGGTGCCTTTTTTTGTTTCTTTCCCATGGCCACTGGGCATCTGAGGAGAGAAGCTGAGGCAAGGGATCTCCTAAAAGAAACCCACCACTTGGATGGTTCTACGTTCGGGGTCTTCCAACTCATTCCCTGCTTATGGCACCAGCACCGGCTACCGGTGTCCCGGGAGCTTTCAGTTGTTTTTCTTCTTTTTTGTTTTTTTCCCTCCGCCTTTTGTCACTGGTCAGAGTTTGTTTGAAGAGGGTTATAAGGGAACTACCCGTATTTAGGGTTGGTTAAAAAGAAGTGTGCCAAGGCTGAACAGCCCGTAAGGTTGTATCTCACTCACATGGATGGGGACCAATCCCAGTTCGTCTAGTAACAAGGGCTACAACTCACCTACAAGCATCCAAGAAGGGAAGGCGTTTCTGTTGAACAGCCACCCAGGTTGCCCAAGAAGCAGTTTCCGCTCAACATCAACAACTTGAAACCAGTTTCACGTTAAGCCGGGAAGCAAGTTCAAACAATCTCCGGGGCGGCAAACAGGCAAAAGTTTTGCCTCCGCAACTCCCTCTCAGAGAGAGCAGGTCATCAATTTTCCAACAAAAATCGCAGGGGCTCTCTAGTATAACCAATGTCCCGTAGAGGGCATCGCCGCATTTTCACTGCGGCACACACGACTTCGTCTGCAAACGGGACGGCTTCGCCCCCAGAGTGGTTTGCCCCCAAGGAATCCTTCAAAGCAACGCCAGACAGTCCACAAAAGACATACGTTGCCACGAACTCTCGGGGCCCGGGTGGTGTGGCTTCTCCTTAGTTTGTTTGCGTGTTGCAGAGTTTCTCTCTGTCTCTCTCTCTCTCTTGTTGGAAGTCCCAGTTGCCAGAGGAACCCTTGTCAGGCTGTCCCGCTTTTACTCTCAGATTTACAAAAAGGAACCGCAAACATCCAAGGGCTGTGCGCTTGTGTCGATCACGAAGGTAACCGGGGGTAGTGTACAAATTGGGTTGAGCATCCAAGTACGCCTTTCAATATTGGTCTCGTCTCGCAGTGGTTTAAACCCAACATAAGCCTAAGGTCGAGATACGACAAAAAACCCTCCTGGGTCATAACTTCCAGCAGGCCAACGTCGGAAGGAGCCCCGTTCACCGGCCATACTGTGGATGGATAAAATCGTGCACCACCCCACAAACCATGGGAAACCGTTGTTGGTTGGTGTTTACAGGGGGAAAAAAACATTCCAGGGTTTCTTAGGTGGTGCAGGATTTCGCCCATCCACAGTATTTCCCACTAAAAGGCTAACTTCTAGCAAGGGATCACCCCAATCCAGATTTGTGTATATATTTTTTACGCGGCGCAGGATTTCGTCCATCCACAGTATCCCACCCGAGGTTTTCCAGATCATCCTCCACGCCAGCCTTGAGCCGCGAGCCGTTGACCGGCGCGGGCCTTAGTTTGGTTGTCGTTTGGGACCGGAGCAAAAACACGTTGCCCAAACGACCCAAATGAGTGTCTAGGTCCCCCAGCTAGGTGCCCTTTTACCCTTTGGGGGAGGAAATGGGTGTGGCTCAAAATAGACTAGGTCCCCCAGCTAGGTGCCAACTTTGACGGTTTCTTTTTTGGTTGGGAGGGTTCCCCAGACAGAAAAGAGTGCGTACCAACTTATTCTAACCTATCTACTGGAGGACCTAGGTGTGCTCAAACCTAAAGACCGAGGGGGCAGGTTTTAGTTGTTGGTTCCACAGAGCCACCAGCCAAATGGCTAAATCTCAGGGGGTCTGGAAGGTGGGGAGCTAATTTGAACTCCCTCCCCCCTCTCTTCCCCCCTAGGCCGAATGACTAAATCCAAGGGTTAGGGTTGAAGGCTGACCAAGCTGATGCGAAAGGCTAAATGATCACACTTTTTTTGTTTTTTATGATCATGATGCAATTTGGGTTGATATTACTCCACCACACCAGTTGGCTTATTTAGGCCCTTGTAGTACCCAGCATAAGGAGTGTCCTCGGAAAACTGGGGTTCAACTCCTGAAACTACCAATCCAAACCACCATTTGAGGAGAACCGGAGGTCTGGGCCAAATTTGTGGCGCAGGTCACATGAGCCAAAACCGAAGACAGAAGTTCAAGAGCGGCTTTCTGCCAGTGCAGTTTCTAATTTGCGGCTATTAGCGTGTGTGCTTTTGGTTGAGGATGGGTACCCATGCTTGGGTTGTTTGCCTGTTTTTCTAGGGGTTGATTCCCCATTCTTTTCAAATTCTGCTGTTTTTTTTGGGGGGGGGTTCTGATGGTTTTCTGGAAAGATTCGGATCCCTGGAAAGAATGGTTGGAAGTGTCCCCTAGAGTTTTGGGGTTTCCTCATTTGGAGACAAACCATCGTGTAGTGCTTCCCCATTCTTTTCAGAGATCTGGGTGAACAAACATGTGGGGTCAACCCTTGGAAAAATGGAGGCCTGGGGCGGGGGTGGGTGGGTGGGGGGGTGCTCTACAGGAGTTCCCCTTAAACTAAATGAATTCTAAAGTATATTCAACAGAAGATATGCTTATTTTACTTATCAACGGAAACACTTGTTGTTCATTTTTTTTTTTTTAGAATAAAGGACCCCAATGAAAGGGGTTCACATGGGGTTGGGCACCTTGTTCGGGCCCTGTGACTTACACATTGATATTGGTTCAAACACGCATGCCTTGCTGTTGGGCCTTTGCACCCTCTTTTTGGGAGAATCCAGGGGTCCGCGCACCTTTTGGGTCCTGAACAGTTTTTTTTTTTTAATCATACCTTTTTTGGGGTTGGTATTGGGGGGCGGGGGGGTAAGATTTTGGGAATCAAGCAGATAGAGTGCCACTTGTTTTTCTCACATAAATTCACTAGTGGTCTGGGCTGGAGGTTGGTTTCAAAGAGTTCCCTTTAAACTCAACTACCAAACAAATCGAGTGCCATGTGTTTTTTCCTTGGGAGGTTGGTTTCAACCAAAGGCACACCTCAGGAACCCATCACCAAGCGCCCACATCCTTCTTGCAGGGCCCACGCCGCCGAAGCGCCTGGGCGGTTTCGCCGCCTTTCCGCGACACCCGCGGAACTTTCAGGCGCGGGGGCGTCGCGGGAGTCAATCAGAGACCCCGTTCAACCAGGCAAAAGCTGCCTGGTTTGTGGTTGGTTGAAGAAACCCAAAAGGAAACTGCAATTTATCGTGTTCCTTCATTTGGGTGTGTCTTTCTTTTTTTGAGGGTGCCTCCTTTTTTGGTGGCTTTAAAGGGAAACCAAAAGGGAAACTAAAAAGGAAACCACAATTGTTCGGGGTCCGCCAAAAAAAAAACACCCATATCAAAGCTTCAGATTATTTTGTTGTAGGGCATTGTAGGGGTCTAAGTCCGGCCCGGGGACTTCTCCACAAGAAGATTCCTACCTTTGGCTGGGGGGGAGAAATGGACGAATGAACCCCAAAGTTCCCAGAGGGAACTTGGTACCGGGCTTTGAGTTTCCTTTTTGACGCATGGGTATGGGGGGTGTCTTAAGGGAGCCCTTTTTGGGCTGCTTCCAAAGGGAAACCAAAGGGAAGTCAAAAGGAAACCATTGGGAACCAGGGTCTTCCCTGTGGATGGACGAATTTCGTTCGCACAGCCTGAGCAACCATGGTTGAAACCATAAACTTGTCGGTATTTACGTTGGAGAATCAGACCAGAAACCAGGGTTTCTCAGTTGGTGTGAAATGGATTTCGCCACCATGCACAGAATGTAGTGACAGGCCCATGTGTTGCTGAGGGTTCTTTTGCGGGATGGGAAACCTACAAAGTTGGGCTCCCCCTGGTTCCTGGAAAAGGCTCCATTCATTCCTTGTCCCGACCCAGGGACCCAGCCCGTACCGGGCCCCATTCATCCCGCAACCCTTGGGCCCCGCCGTTTTGGGATCCGCATTGAGCAGCGGACTTTTTTCATTTGTTTTTGGTAAACAAAAAAAAAGCTCAGGTGATATCCCCAACAGCATGCGGCGCTCTGTTTAGTGCTCGCACCACCCCGCAGCCCTCGTGGAACCCTCGTGGAACCCATCCCAGATGGGCCACACAAACCATCCCAGATGTCGACAAGGGGGCAGATATCGCAAAAGCCGCCTGGACAATGCCAGGGATGTTGCAGGTGATGCAGGCGCCCAATCCCTTCTAAAGCAGCTTTCTCTAAACAGCAATGTGGTGCTATACTACAGCCAAGCCACCAATTTCAATCACATGGGCGCCCAACTCAACCCGAAACAGAGCAGAACAAACGCCAACAAGACAAACCAAGCCGCATGACCTCATGAAACCAGCACTAATACTGTATTTTGATTAGCTCTTAAGCACAAGCTTTCACCACATCAAAGCAAGCTCCAAAACCCATTTACAACTTTGCCTAATTTGCCAGGGGGGGGGGGGGGTTGCCACAAAACGATGTTAAAACATCATGGACCCCATGGCTGGCAAATGCTCTATGGAATGACCTCCCGATGGCTGTTTTGGGGTTATTTGCCAGCCATTGAGGGTCGATCATGTAAGATCATGTAAGAGTGTGTCAATGAGGAAGCCCCCCGAATCAAACATGCTGAGAGGCCTCCCTACAAATAAAACTGTGATTGGAAGCTGCGGGTTTCCTTAGGCTTGCGCACTGAACGGGGATGCAAGGGAGAAAATGCAACTGACGAGAGTGTGTGATGTTCATGTCCCCGTCTGAATTTCAGCCTCCCAACCCGGCTGCGTTCGCAACCGCATGTTTTAGCAAGCTCCCGAAAAGTGCCTCGTTGCCTTTTTTTTGCAACGCCCGTCCTGGAAGTGTAGGCAACTCCTGGAGGCACTGTGGGTGCACAAAATCCGTTCGCACCACTTGGGAACAATGGGAAACCGTTGTTCATTGGCATTTACGGGGGAATCATCATTTCCAGGGTTTCTTAGGTGGTGCAGGATTTCGTCCATCCACAGTATGCCAGACTTTGTCTCCGAAATGGGTGGCAAAAGGTTCACCCTTCGATCACAAGCCAACTGACCACCAGAGCCACAGATCAAGGGATCAGAAAGCCTAGTTTTCCTGCGTCCCTGCCTGGTTCTCCGCCACCACTCGTTCACACAGGACGGCCTTATTTTTTGGCGATCCTTATGCTTCCTGCCCACAAACCTAGCATTTGTGGGAGGGTACCTGGAGGTCAATTGACTCTCAGGTGCCAAGTAGGTGGGAGGGAGGGCAATCCACAAAAGGTGTGGTTCAACAAACGCCGTGCCGCTCGGGTCGGTTGAAATCGCGCCCATTCGGCGCAGGGCGGTTGGTCTCCCAGCCGGGCCCCCGACGGGGGGGGGGGGGGGGGGCAAAGTCCTCAGAGTTGTCGCTTTGGACCGATTTTCCGTTGGGAAGCTAATCTATAGGTCCCCCACTTTTGCCCTTTTACCTTTTTTTGGGGGAGGGTTCCCCTACTAAAATAGACTACAGAGAAAAGGGTACCCTTATTCTAACCTCTCTACTGGAGGACCTAGAACAAGTAGGTTATGACTTGTTACCAACCCGGTTAGAAAACAACTACACTCAGTTGTTCGAGTTACAACCAGGGTTATAAGCTACTTACAAAGTGGGTTTAACATCCAAGTGCCCGTTTTGTAGGGTTTGCTTGGGCCGAAAGGGCATTTTAGCTTTGAGACGGCAAACGTGGCTGGGTTTCAAGCCCTCAATAAACAACCCCGCAGAAAATGGGTATTGGGTATTTTGGTTTTCATTTTTACCGCCCGGACGATTGATTCGGGCAACGGAAACTATCACTCCCAAGCAGATGACCTGACACCATCTTTGTAAAGAGGAAACTCCTTTTGGCCTTTCTTCTCATGCTAATTTGAAGGGGAGTTCCATTTCCCTCCTGGCAATTGTGCTGGACACGTGGAGTATATTTTGCCCGTTTACTCAGGTCAAAAGACCCGCACCCCTGGGTGCCGCACCCCATTTCAAACATGCAAATGCTGTTCGCGGCACATAGAGAAAGTCTAGCCGGAAATGGATATGTGTCAACTTAGGGATGGACCTGCATGGACTTTGGTGTTCCTTTTGGCTTCCCCTTAAGCAAGGTTCCTATTGGTTTCCCTTGGGTTTTTTCCTTTTTTAAGGTGAAAACATGGTACCCTCAAGAAGCACGCCCAAAGGGGGCCCTCTATTTCGTCTTTTTCGGACCTCAAGTGTGAATTTAGTTGGAGCCCGCCGCAACTTAAGGGGGAAGCCAGTGACTGAAATCTTCGTGTTGGGAAACCCTGATTTAGACCCTCACACATTCGGAGACGCCATCTTCCACACCTCCAGTCCGGTGACCCTTTTTCCACTTACTTTTTTGGAGGGGTTTACCCAAAATTTATCTACCCAAAAAAAAGGAGCGTTTTTTTCTCTTGTTTACCTGAATTCAACTACCCCCCAACAACGGAGCGCCGAGCCTTTTGTCCCATCAACAAATCCTCTTGGGATCTGGGGGGAAAATGGTGGACCCTGAAAACTTGCTGGTGCGACAGGGTGGAATGGAATGAAGCGTTTCGGGGATTCCCGAAAAAAGGAAACCACCACTGGGATGGTTGATCATTCCCTCCCTATCGCAACAGCAAGTCATTGCCTTCTATTTGCTGAGGCTGACCAGGACTCAATTGCCAAAGGAAGCCACTTGGGCCCTTCAAATTGTTCAATGTGGTTGAATGAACCCAGGGATTTCCTTAAGGACAACCACTTGGGATTCGTTTTTTCTTGGGCTCGGACTCCATGGCCCCCAGGGCCTCTGAGTCCTTGCGGGGGTAAAAACTCCCCGCGAGAGCCCCGCCGAGGCACCGCCTTTCCGCGGCACGATTCGGCGGCGACTGCGGCGCCGCGACGGGCTTCGGAGCCGGGCGCTGAGATCCAGAGTGTTACTCCTTTTGCATCGACTTCCATTTGGTTAAGACACTTTTTTCTTTTCCCCTGTTGGTTTTAAAGGGAATTTATCCCTGTAGGTTGAGGGTAGCCCAAAGGGAAACCACTGAAATTTATTCCTTATTGAGGATTCCTCTGGAGAAACCCACTGATTTTGGGGGATTCCCTTCAAAACTCACTTCCTGAGTCGGACTTGAAACTTCTTTTTTAGCCATTTCCCTTCAAAACGGGAGGCTCCAAAAGTGGAGAATCTTTCGATGAATTCAATGGACACCATTCACCCCGTCAATTCTCTGGCCCTTGATTCCTTGCGGAATCTTGTTCTGCCTGCGCAAATCATGTCAAGTAACCACATTTGTTGCACGCACAGAAGTTGAACGCAGCCCAAAGAAGAAGTTGAACACAGCCGGTCAACACTTGTGTGTAGTAGAAGCATGTTTTCACAGTTTAAAACTGCCAACAAATTGGTTGGGTTCCCTTCCCTCGGACACCCATCAAAAGGAGGTCCCCGAAGAACGACTCACCCATACATTCCTCAATTGCCTAACGCTGGCCTTTGGACCTTTAGTTTCATTTGTTTGTTCTAATTTTGGTCATGGCCTGAGAAGGTCAACTTTTTCCGGATCCTTTGGACAACTGAGACTTGGGTGGGTTTGTCTTAAGCTAGGGCAACCGCAAAAATGCTTGGTTTCGTGTTGGTTTCCCTTGCCAGCCGCAAAACGATGCCAACGCGGACCCACAGAATGGATTGCGACACACCTCACAAACGGGAGTAGTAGGCAAAGAAGGACAATCAAAAGGTATATATTTAGGTAAACGATGCATTTGGCAAACCGCCAAGCCAAACACACGAACCACTTCCATTTGCTTAAGAATAGTTGTTATTCTCCCTCGTTGGTTTTAAACGGACTTGATCACTACTGGACATATTTTCACATGTTTCTCATCGGTCTTAGCCAAATGGATGGTTACTCCCTTACAAATGAACGAAAGAGGGACTGGGGGGGGGGGGGGGGAAAATATAATGTGCTCCCATCAACATGCAACCAGGATCCCTTTTGGTTGGTCAAAGGGATCCAAACCAACAACACGAACCATAAGCCTTTGGTCTTCCAAGTCCCGAGGCGCTTCCAGCCCAAGCGCAAGGCGTCCCTTGACGGTTTGTGGACTGGCCGCGGGTGGTTGAACAAGGGGGATGCATCCAAAAACCGGGCGGTCCAAAATGGCTAGGTCCCCCAGCTAGGTGCCAACTTTTACCGTTTCTTTTTTGGGTGAGGGTTCCCCTACTAAAATAGACTACAGAAAGAAAGAGTGCCCTTATTTTATGACCTCTCTTCTGGAGGACCTAGATAGGGTTCTTCAAGACCCCTGTATCCTGAATTGTTTGGATTTTAAACGGGTTATTCCAAAAGGGGGCACATTTCAGAAAGGTTGTTACAAGTCACACCCATTTCTTGGACCCAACACTTTGCCGGGGATGCCCAGAAAGATGAACTCCCAACCTCAATATTCTCCCCCATCGACAACCTTCAATTTTCGATCTGCTTTAAGCCTTGCAGAAGTGTCTTTGGGCCTCCCTTAAGTTTTGAGTGGAACATCGGGGTTGCCGTCCACATTTTCTTCCCTTCGGGCGCCTTTCCAGTTCGACCCGTCAGGTTATGTCGGCTCTGCTGGCGTTTGAAAACGACGCGTCGCAAAGCTTGGTGGCTCAACCAGCGAATCGTCCGGCTCCTTGTCTTCGTTTCTTTTGGTTTAGTGGTTGGGTTTCCATATATAGTTAACCCATTAAAACATATTCACTTTTAGCAGGGGGTCTCGCAACAGAGCTGGAGGTTTTCATGCGAGAGTTTCCCACTGGTAGGGGGAGAGTGGGGGTGTTCCCTTTTAGTGACTAGGTCCCCCAGTAGCCCTTTTGCCCTTTTGTTGGGGAGGGTTCCCCTACTAAAATAGACTACAGAAAAAGGTTGGTGCCCTTATTCTAACCTCCCTACTGGAGGACCTAGGTGAGAATCCGGATCACTTTTATGGGTGACACGCCCTATGAATTCGATGAGTTGTTCCGAGGTTTCCACAGGGAAACCAAAGCCCGCGTTGATGAAGAGACTGAACTCGGGGCGGTCCCCTTACCATGTTTTTTGCGAATATGTCTTTTTTGTCCACCAAAACTGGTGGTCAACAAGGCTACAATAAAAGCCACCGTCTGCCCTTTAGTTCCTTGCGTGGTTTGCAGAGTACTTTGCTCGGTGTTGATTTTGATTCATTTGCCATGCTCAGCACCCATTCACGAGTTGTGCTTAGAACCTGACCTGCTCTTCTGGCGTGGCTCGAATATCCATGTTAATATAGGGGCTGAGTAATTGCCATGTCGTCCTCCTAGTATCGTGACTTATTGTGATGTTAAGATAATGCTGAGTTTTGCCTTTTCTAAGTTTTTAGGTGGCTTAGGTGGGGGTGTCCATTCAACCCGCTAAAAGTTATTCACTCCTGGCAGGGGGTCACAAAACGGACAGCCCAGTAGCTTCCTGGCAGGGAATCTATGGCTGTGGGTCAAAACCAACGGGATCCGATTCCGAGCCGGTTTTTCTTGCCCCTTCTGGGCTTGCCATTTTTCAGGGTTGGGAGGTTAGTGTGATATATGGCTGTGGGTCAAAACCAAATTGGTTTGTAGGTGCACCACCCATTTTAGGTTTCCTATTTTAGTGGTTGGAGTTGGATGTTCACTGGGGGCTAACCGATTTGGGTTTTGACCTGCGTGGCCCTCCAGGTGCAGCGAGGAACTGCTGAGTGGTGGGCGGCTTTCCCAGATTCCTCATCTGAGGAGGAGCTGGTCAGGGTTGGTTCTGGCCAAACAACCAGACAATGGCCCCCTTCAAAGGGAAGCCAAGCAGAGACGTTGAAGCAATACTCTCCTTGCAACAACGATGTTGGTTGCCTTCGAACCATGATCTTGGTCCGCAACCCTGTGCACTCCTATGACTGAAATGGAATTGGATACGAGTCAAAACAGAATTGCTCTACCTGTTGGTTTCTCTTCAAACCAACCTGAAAACTTCCCCAGAATTAGCTCCCCTGTTTGTTTTTTTGCTGTTTTGGGGTCCCTTTGTTTTCCACTAACCAGTCACTTCTTCCAGCCTAGAAAAGGGACACTTCGCAAAGACGACATACCCTTTTGCTTGTTCGCCTGCAAGTTAATTACGACGGGACCCCCAGAAAAGCTTGGTCTCCCTTTGGTTTCTCTTTAAACCAACCCCAAAAAGGGCACCAAAGACGACACCCGCCTCTTGACCCCCCGGTGATGTATTAACAAGGGACACCCAAGTAGTGTTTCTGCCGGAAAAAAAAAAGAAGTCTTTAGCTCCCATACCAACGACTGGAAAGTGTCCACCATGTTTAAGCCGGACGCGTCTTGCCATCGCTCTGACAGCTGCAGGAGCTGGACTATAGGGTCTCGCACTCAGGTCCTCTCGGGTGGTCTCGGTGAGTCGAAAGCAAAGGAGAAACCAATCTAGGTCCCCAGTAGTGCCCTTGGTGCCCATTTTTGGGGAGGGTTCCCCTACTAAAAAGGAATACAGAAAAAGGGGTACCCTTATTCTCTGCTGGAGGACCTAAGGAACGAGAAACCAAAGTCAGGGGACATCAGTTTCCACCAAGAGATGTTTTCGTTGCGCATGCCTATAAACACGAAGTTTCCACCAGGGCACGAGACATTTACATTTTTTTTGAGTCTCTAGGTAGGGGATGTCAAAGTCAGAGTTTCTTGGAGTTAGCTCCCGTCTTCTCTCAGTTTGTTGTTGGAGTTTGTAATCATAGGTGTCCTTTTTGGTTGTTTTGGTAGAACAATAGATGGCCCTGGTTTTCCTGGTGGTTTAATCATCTACCAGGGCCATCTATTTCCCCTAAAAGGACACCTATGTTTGTAAGTGTTATTATTTTTTCTTTACATGGTTTTAGAGGGAAACCAAGAGGAAACGGTTGCTTTACCCTACCACCCAGGGGGTCACTTTGAAAATGGTAAAATAAGCAACCCAGAACGAGACCAATACCACACTGAACAAAAGCTGATTTCGGGGCAACTGAGGGTAAGACCAGGGTTCCAGAAAAAAATATCAACCCTTTTGGTTTGGTCATCACCTTTGCTACTTTTAGATGACTCGGCGATGCCCAGCCGTCCAATTCCTTCGGTTTAGTGGTTGGGTTGCCATAACCCACAAGTCAAACTTTTAGCGGGGATCAGAAAACGGACAGCCCGGCTTACAGCTGGCTGAGAATCGACGGCACAAGATATACTTTTACCCTTTAAAGGGAAACCCAAACAGAACCAACCTTTCCTAGTTGGGCCCAACCAAAGATGTCCCCTGTTTGGTGGTTTTGTACATCACATGGTGGGTAATTTAGATTGAGCTTCCTTTTGGTGGGCTGATGCTTAGAAAGCAAGTCTAGAAAACCCTGTATGGCAGTCGAGGGAAGCAGCAAGGAGGAAATAGGAGCCACGTTCCTGCATAGCAAGGCATGAAACCAGTCACCTGTTGTGTCAAGATCTTGGAGTCTCCGAGCTCAGTCTACACGTATGCACCGCCACCCATGCACCGCCACCCCCGGGGGAAAAAAAGAGAGAAATCAACAACCAAAAAAACTCTCGTAGAGGAACATCGTCGGGAAAAGAAAGAGAAATCAACAACTAAAAAAAGCTTCTCGTAGAGGAAAAATCGTCAAACAAAAGCACCCTTGGAGTTGATTCTGCTGCTTTTACAGGCAAACCTTACCACCATTGCGCATTCTTAGTTGTGAAGTTGAAAGGGTGGTTCTGTTGGTTTGCCAAGTATAGGGGTATTTCTACAAAATCCGGTAGCACTTGACACATCTCGGCCCAGGATGCTCCGGCGGTTCCCTTCGTCCCTGTGCCTGCACCGAGTGCCAGGCGTGGATTGGGATGGCTTTTGGCCTCCGGATCACTTGTCTCATTTTCCCGGGTTCGGCGTTTGGGGGTTGGGTGGAGCCCCATTTTCGTCGAGCCGTCTGCGAGGTCTTACGCTCCGCCGGCCGGGGCCCAACAGGGCTTATCGCCTAATGTGTTGGTCGAAGGTACCCCTCGGATGTGTTAGGGAAGTTGCAGGCAACTCTTGGTGGTTTGGAGCTCGGTGGTTTGGATTTGGAGTTGAACCTGTGGTTCTTGTAAATGGTACGCGAGAAACCACCCAACCACCAATTCGAGGGAAGCGGAACATTTTACGTGTTCCTCTTTTTTTCTGTTGGGGGGGGGTCCCCCTTCTTTGAGACGAATCCATATGACACCCCATTAAAAAAAATGGAGAAGCCGACCACTGATTTTCTTGTTGCCCTTTTGACCGCAAAGGCTGGGAGTCGCAGCATCGTCCCCATCCTTCCGGCCAAATGGGATGCGCATGTTCTTCGTAGGGTCGCCTTTAAGGGCTTACCGACCTGAAGCCGAAGCTGACAAACCCACAGACCCAACACCCGGAAAAGTTCCTGGAAAACCAAGTTGCTGGAAAAAAATGGGGCACCAACGAAAGTTGCGAAAACATACACAACTGTTAAAGTTGTACCAAAAAAGCAGCAACTTTGGTCCGTCAGGTTGTTTATTTCCTCATGCACCATTGGTATTTTGATGAGTTGAAAAAGGGGGGAAATGCGCACTGCAACTAAGGGCCCACTCAGCTTTCCAATGGGACATATTCGTAGTTTTGTCCGGGGCGATGAGTTCTTGACTCAGACATTTCGGCTCCTTTGCGGGTGTCCAAGGGTTCTGGGTCTGCCATTGGAAGCCGAAGCCTGCATTTGGGTATCATTTTCGCAGTGGACGGAATCCAAGTTGGAAGTAACATGAGCCACGTGCTCAAAACCCGGGGATAGATTAAGGTTAGTACGGGACACCTTCTGAAAATTCTTGAAGCATGTTTCTGGGAGTACGACCAAGTTAATAACGGATTTGATTTTGACGCAGCTACAGTCCACCTGGAGTCTCCTTCTGACCATATGGGTCCATGACCCCTTTCTTTTGGGTAATGCAACTGGTGGTTTCCTATGTTCGGGAATCTCCAGGTTCATTCCCTCATTCCCTGCTGAGCACCAGCAAGTTTGCATTTTTTTTGTGGGGAAATGGGTTTCTTGAGAAAGCCGCGGATTTGAAGCTCTGGTTCTTGTGGGAATATGCTTCCATTTGGGTAAGAATATGTTGCAAAATGTCCCTTGTTGGTTTTAAAGGGAATCGATTTCACTACTGCAATTATTGGATTTATTTTTTTTTGCCAGGGGGCTTAAGCAAATAGAAGAAAAGACACGCAAAATGGCTTCGGTGTTCTCAGTGTTGAGGTGTTGAGGGGATACGCCATTTTTGTTGGCGAACATGGAGCCCACAAATGGTGGTGTTCCTTTCGGCTGTCCTTTCCAAAAACAACACTTCAGAGTCCAGTTGTGGCCTGGCTTTTAAGGGGGGGTACCATATATATATATATGTACATGTATGTGTATTCTTTTCAGCAAATGGGGAAACGTGGACCTCAACGCCGCGAGCTTCGGTCCAGGGACCCCTTCCAAAGATCCAAAGTGCCCCTGTTCATGAACCTGAGCCACTTTTTGTTCGGGTTTGGACCATTGCGCCATACAAAAAGGTGAGAAAAGGGACTCAAGGGACGTTTGGATTGGTTTGGAGGTTGGGTTGGGGAATTTTCGGGTTTGGACCATTGTGGCATACAAAAGGGTGTGGTCACATTTGTTGGGCGCTATCCACTCGATCGGAAGTGAGAGATTGGGGACGTGCTGAGTTCGGCACGTTTGGAGTGGTTTGGAGGTTAGGTTGGGGAATCCCTAAGGGTGGTCCAAGGGGGGGGGTCTTAGGCTTAAGGAACGCTCCAAGCCGGACTCCCAACTACCCACCCTCTTTGTATTCACCCCCCCCGAGGGAGCTTTCAGAAATTTCACTTGCCCAAAGATCTGTGTTGCTTTAAAATGAGGCCACCCCCCGGACGTCAGGTTCCATGTGAATTGGTGGGAGGGTAGGAAGTAAGAGAGCAAAAACAGAGAACAAGGGTTGCCCTTTGGTGGCAACTTGCGGCCAACTTCCGGCTAATGGTTCAGTGCAAACCCTAACATTTGCCCATCGTCCTGCTCGCCAAGCATTGGTCATCTGAACAAGTGTGTGTCCGTGCATGTTTTTTTGGAGGGTACGTCATTTTATGTGACGTTTCAATGGAAAAACACGTTAGTTAAAGCCGCTTCCCTTTCTTTCTTTTTTTTTTGGTGGGAGGGGTCCACTACAAAAAGACGACCAAGAATATATTTTCGCGAGAATACCGTCTTAGGCGCCCCATTCCCTGCCTCGGGTTATTTCAGGTTCAAAGGCGCCTCGCGACAGACAAGGACAGCCCTTCCTTAGACTGAGATTCCCACTTGCCCAGTGGCTTCCGCCCCCTTTTTTGTCATTTTTATAGGGAAGGGCTCCTCTTTAAATGGGTTGGTGATTGTTTTTTGGGGTTGGGTGCTGCCTTTTTTCGACTTTTGTTTAGGGAAGGGATCCGCTTCCTTCAAACTCAGCCAAGAAATTGGATGCCGATTCTTTGTTTCTCATGGAAATCCACTGGGCATCTGAGAACAGGTATCGGGATCTTCTCCAAAATGTGTTATGTTTTAGGCTTGACCAATTATGAAACAGATCTGTATGATTTTGGGGGGAAGTACCCCAGGGGCCCAGTTTCGACGTTGTCCGTTAAGAGATTTAAAGCATATCTCCCATGAAATTTGGCCGCACTTATGGGAGTTTGATGAACAATTGGAGTTTGCCAGGGTTTTCAAGCAGGTTTTACATGACGGTTTCACCTGGCTAACCTGGTTTTACTGGAACCGCGTTTTTTTTTTTTGGCTTTTCGCGTGAGGGGGTTTCGCCTCGGTGTCTCTAAGCCTTTGGGTGCGTGGCATCTCTTGTTTCTGAACGCCTCTTGAGGCGTTTCTAGCACGGGGCACAAATCCAGAAATCAGAAACAGGGCAAGCCCCGCTGTGCTTTTTCTTGGTGGCGCCCAGACCATCCGATTTCCTAGCTTTTTTGCTTTTAGTTGGTGAAGTGGTTGGGTTTCCATATTTAACCCAATAATCGTCCATTTGCTGAAATGAATATGCTTTATGCCTTCCTGTTTGTTTAAAAGGGAATCGATTTCACTACTGGAAATATGTGAGTTTTTCCAGGGGACTTCAGCAAACGGGTGTATTCGTTAAACTTTTAGCAGGGCATCTGAAAGCGGACAGCCCAGTTTGTTGAGGCAACCCTCTTAGGTCGTTTAGGGAAGGTTTTGGGCAAAAGCTCCCCCCCTATGTTGACACGCACCTTTCTCCATCAACCCAAGTTGCCAAAGCACGGCCCAGCCAGCCAAAGCGGTTCAAGCTTGATTCCAGCTAAGGCAGAAACTCTAGTATTTTTCAGAACAAAGTCTCGAGTCACGGTAGCCAAAGAAGAAATCAGCCATGGCAAGGGTGATTACGGTGCGACAGCTGTCTGGAGCAGATGAGGCAATCGAATTGCTGGCAGACATGACCCTCCGTGAGTTCAAGACGCAGCTGCACCGGTGGCTGCCCTGCGCAGATGAGTCAAAGCGCAGCATGAGCTGTGTGGAGGTGGTTGTTGGAGACACGCCCTTGTTGAACAACAAGGAGATGGTGTCGGAAGCCATTCCAGGTACAGAAGTTCTGGCTTTCCTGAGTATCAAGCCGGTGATATGCACAAGCTTCTCAACGTCCGGCTGCACGCGGGAAGATTTGTTCGTCGCGGAATTGCCAGGAGGCGTGACTGAGGTTGGGAAAGATGCCTTCAAAGGTTGCGGCTCGTTGGCCGGCGTGATCATCCCAGACTCCGTGACTACGATACAAAAGTTTGCCTTTACATGGTGCACCTCACTGGCAAGCATTACCATCCCCAATTCTGTTACTGAGATTGGAGCGTTTGCTTTCAAAGGTTGCAGCTCATTGGCAAGCCTGACCTTGCCAAACTCAGTGACTGCGATAGGAACGGGTGCCTTCTATGGTTGCTGCTCACTGGCAAGCGTAGCCATCCCAGACTCTTTGACTGAGATTGCAGACAGCTTCTTCCGAGGTTGCAGCTCATTGGAAAGCGTGACTATTCCCCGTTCAGTCACTGAGATTAGACATGCTGCCTTTCTTGGTTGCAGCTCATTGGCAAGCTTTGCCATCCCCAATTCTGTCACTGAGATTGAAGATAGCTCCTTCCAAGGTTGCAGCTCATTGGCAAGCATTTCTATCCCCGACTCCATACATGTGATAGCAAGTCGTACTTTCCGAGGCTGTAGCTCATTAACAAGTGTGGCCATCCCCAACTCCGTGACTGTGATACGAAATGGTGCTTTCCAAGATTGCAGCTTAATGGAAAGTGTGACGATTCCCAATTCTGTTACTCAGTTCGGAGATTTTGCCTTCCAAGGTTGCAGCTCATTGGCAAACGTGGCCATCCCCGACTCTGTTGCCAGCCTAGAATATAAAGTCTTTCACGGTTGCAGCTCATTGGCAAGCGTCACCATTCCCGACTCGGTCACTGACATTTCAGAAAGTGCCTTCCACGGTTGCAGCTCATTGGCAACCGTGACCATCCCCAATTCTGTCACTCGAATAGGAGAATGTGCCTTCAAAGGTTGCAGCTCATTGGCCACCGTGACCATCCCCAATTCTGTCAGTGAGATTGGAGAATGTGCCTTCGAAGACTGCAGCTCATTGGCAAGCGTGAGCATTCCCGACTCTGTTTCTGAAATCGGAAATGATGCTTTCGCAGGCTGTAGCTACGTTTTGCCCGAGCGACTCCGTTGAAATTCCAGAGTCCTCATAGGCTTATAGAGCGGTGATGTGAGCCAGCGGTGATAGCACCAGGCAGCAGAGCAACCGCTCAAGGTAACGATTGTCCGAGTTGCAGCGCGCCCTTGCTTTAGAGGACAAAAGGAACCAAGGAATAAGAGAGGTGCGCGTGTGGTGTCTCTCTCTCTCTCTCTCTCTCTGTGTGTGTGTGTGTTTGTGCGCGTGTGTGCT